AGGGGCGGGGCGGGAGGGGGCATGTCTGGCACACCAGACGCGTTGTTGCCAAGCCGAGGGTTCGCACTCGCGCGCGGGCGGGTGTGAGAGAGACAGAGCGAGGCACTGGCAAATTATGTCTCTATATGAGAGAGACAGAGAAAGAGAGAGGGAGGGGTAGGGGGAGATAACGACGTTAAATCGAGGGGAATTTGACGGAGTTATTTCCAAAACCTGGATTTCCTCGATTACAACGGAAGGCGTCTAGGCCGGTCTGGGCTGGGCTGGGCTCAGCTGCCCGTTACGTCATGAGGCTGAGGTTGTCGATGACACGAAGTTGGCGCGGCAAAGGGAGGCGAGCTGGACAAAAGAAAGGTGGGCGGTGCAATGGGCGTATGGACGTTAGCGGGCATGGCCTGGGCCCGAGGGTCAGGATGGACGTTAGCGGACATGGGGTACCTCGACGGCCGGTTCGGGGTACCGGCGGAGGGCTAATCCCAGCGGGGACCGCCAAGTGTGTCGTTTGCGGACATGCGGCGGCGTCGGCGGCCTACCTAGGGACCGTCAGGCGCTACACTCGGGCTGAGGGCAAAGACGACCGGTTGGTATCAGAGTATACATTTAGCACTTGAACTAAACATTAACGTGTCAGCAGCTAGTACTGTCTGACGGAGGAGCGCGATCCTGCACGGGCAATCGGGTAATAGACACTTTCTCGCGGGCAAATCGTCGTTTGCGGCAGTAATCAATTCCTGAATTCTGATGGGCGTCGCTCCATGCCAAAGCGTTGCGCGGAGCGATAGCGAAGCGCAACGCTGCACTGATAATAACATTACTGATTTACTGTTTTCAGTTAGGTTTGTTAGTTTTGGTTGGCTTTTTATTATTTCTAAGAGACACTTAGCTGAACAGATGATTATCTAAGAATATCTTTACTGATTTTCTGTATTGAGTTAGGTTTGCTAATTTTGGTTTGCTTCTTCTCGGTCGCCGCCGGCCGCCGGCCGCCGGCCGCCGCCGCATGTCCGCAAACGACACACTACTGGGCGGCCCCCGCCGCATGTCCGCAAACGACACACTACTGGGCGGCCCCCGCTGGGATTAGCCGTCCACCGGTACCCCGAACCGACCGTCCAGGTACCGCATGTCCGCTAACGTCCATCCTGACCCTCGGCGCCCAGGTCATGCCCGCTAACGACACAACGCCGGTGCAATGAACACGGTGGCATAATGAGCAGGGCGTCATGAGCAGGGGGTTGAGCAGGGCGTCACGAGCAGGGCGTCATGAGCAGGGAGTTGGGCAGGGCGTCATGGGCAGGGCGTCATGGGCAGGGCGTCATGAGCAGGGCGTCATGAGCAGGGCGTCATGAGCAGGGCGTCATGAGCAGGGCGTCATGAGAAGGGCGTCATGGGCAGGCCGACATACCAATCAGCCTCCTACACGCCCAATATCCGGGCCCGGGCCGCAGCGCTAATGGGTCGTGACAAGCGGCGTGGATACGGGAAGCGAGCCGGGCGCAACATGTGGACGCGACGAGCACCTCGTCGGCATCCGGCGCGGCCCCGCCCACCGGTGCCCTGGCCCTGCCCGGGCCCGGGGGTGCCCGGGTGTACCGGGTGCCCGAGCGGGAAGAGTACTTCATGGTCATCGGCACCGCTCCACAGAGCTTACGCCTCGAGTGCCGCGCCGGCGGTCCCTGCACGCTGGTCGGGCAGCGGCGTAGCTGCAGGACTGCAGACCCTCCAGTGACCCCCCCCCCCC